GTGCTGTTTTCACTTCTCTGTTTAGCGATTGCCTGTTTTTTCTTGTTCTTCTAGCTCTCTTTTTGGCTCTGTTCTTTTCCCTTATCATGTCTTTGATTTCCTGGTTTATGTCTCTAAACCTTCCCATGTGTATGTCTATTTCTTCTTCAGTAGTGCTATTTCTGAGTGCTTCTTGTACGATGTTTTCGAACTCTAGGACTCTTTCTTCTATTTCTTGTGGATTGTTTATCACTGGACGTTGTTGATTCCAATACTCACAAGTCTTTTGTAATTTGTCCACTTTGTTTTCTTTTTTTTCTTGTTGTTGTGTTGTTTTCTTCCCATGTTCCTATTTCTAGTAGTATGGGGTTGTGGTCTTGTGATCCTTCGTTTAATGTTCTGATCTCGGTCTGTAGTCCTAGATTTTTAACTACTACTATGTCTAGATGGGTGGGTTGAGCATTTCCTGGGAAATGTGTCGATTCGATGGGACCTATTACCATTGTCTTCATTGTTTGCTAGATAGTTGTTCAGTAATCGTTCCGTTTCTATTTGCAGCTCTACCGTTTCAGTTTGGTCGTCTATTATAGGATCTCGTGGCTTTACGTATGCAAAGGTGATTCGGATATCTTCTTGCCTCATTTGTACTTTGATTGTATTTGCTTCCATAGTGTTTATTTGTGGTGTTAGTATATTAAATGTTCATTACTCCCTTGTTCATCAACAACCTTTAACAATGGTTAACAATGTAGTGCTTTCGGGGGAACCTGTAACCCCTAGAGAGCGCGTCCCCAAGGTGGCGGATAGGGGCATGTCCTCACCAGCCTAGTGCTGGCGGATAGGTAGGAAATAAAATACTACCCGCGGACCAACAGGTAGGGTGGAGGATGCTCTAAAGCTGTAGAGAAAGCAAATCCTCTAGGAGAAGGAATACTCCAAAATCAAACCCTGGTCCTCCAGGTCGGGGGTTGAGGCATCGGGTTAACTCCCCGTTACTCGGAAAAATTCAAACTGTTAAAAAACCTAGCGAAACGCCTCGGAATCGATGGATTATAGCACGACGACACATGCTACGGAAAAGGATAATAAATATTGGAACTTGGAACGTACAAGGGTTTAAACAGAAAATAAATGAAGTAATACATGAAATAAATAGACTGAACATAGACATCGCAGTGATTACCGAAACAAAACGAAAAGGTCAAGGATCAGAAAATATCGGAGAATATGATTACTTCTACAGCGGGGTACCAAAGGAGAAAAGAGCCCAACAAGGCGTAGGTATACTTATACGCAAGAAACTAAGGAGATTCATAACTGCTTGGGAAGCCATCAACGAAAGGCTCATAAAAATGAATCTAACTATCAAAGGAAAAAAGATTACAATTATTGGAGTATATGCAGTAAACGATGATGCACTGGTGAATATTAAAGACGACTTTTTTGAAAAGCTACATTCAGAAATTGCAAATATCGGCAGATCACGAGAAATTATAATCTTGGGGGACCTAAACAGTAGAACAGGCAAGAAACAACACAACAAAGTCATAGGCCAATATGGTGAAGAGGCTATAAATGACAACGGTACTAGACTAATAGCCTTATGCGAACAAAATGATATGAAAATCACAAATGGATTCTTTCAACACCGAGATATCCATAAATATACATGGACACAAAATACCCGAGGGCTGAAATCAATCATAGACTATACAATCATAAGACAAAAGACTAAATTGATTGTACAGGATGTGCGGGTATATAGAGGAGCCACTTGCGGCAGTGACCACCATCTATTAAAAACAAAGCTCACAATAGGAATAGATAGAGCAAGAGATTTAAAAGAAGCTGCAGAGGAAATAGAAAAACTAACAGAAAAGAAATACAACCTAAACAGCTTAGAACAAGAAAGCGTGAGGGATTTATACAGGAGTAGACTAGATAAAAAGTTAGAAACCATGCAATTTACCAGCAATGAAGAGCATTATCATTATATAAAAACATGTCTTCAGGAAGCAGCAACAGAGGCTCTCGGACTCCAAGTAAAAAACCACAGAAAAACTTCGTATTGGTGGGACGAAGAAATAGAACAAGAGATTAAAAATAAAAGAGAGAAGTATAAAAAATTTCTGAACACAAGGACCGACGCTGATAAGGTAGAATACAAGAGGACCCAAGCTAAAGTGCGAAAAATGATATGCCAAAAGAAGAATGAGGCTTGGGAGCAAAAGTGTAACATGATTAACACACATTTAGGAGGACGGAGAAGTACAGAAAGTTGGAAAGTATTAAAATCGCTACGACAGGAAAAGAAAAGAGATATAATATCATCAATCACACCGGATCAATGGGACGAATATTTTAAAAAACTCCTAAATGAGGACAGAGCGGAATTTTTAAATAACAGTGATACCAGCAACGTAAATATCTTAGCCTCACCATTACGAATAACAACAAAAGAAGTAGAAGAAGTATGTAAGTCTTTAAAAAATAACAAAGCACCAGGACCAGGGAACATACCAGCTGAACTAATAAAATATGGCACAACAAAATTATATGAAAACCTGGCTAAACTCTTTCAAAGATACATCAACGGAGCGGAAATCCCAGAAGAATGGAAGACATCATGGATATCCACCATACATAAAAAAGGCAGACGGGATCAATGTGACAACTACAGAGGCATCGCTGTAACGAACTCGATCAGCCGAATATACGGAAAACTGATTAAAAATAAAATCGAAAACGAATATAAAGATATAGAAGCTGAAGAACAGGCAGGATTCCGGGCAGGGAGATCAACGGTAGACCATCTGTTTTGTATTACACAGATTATTGAGAAGAAACTGGCCGTCAACCAGGAGGTGCATCTGTTATATGTGGACTTGAGAAAAGCGTATGATAGCATCCCACAAAACAAACTATGGGAAGCATTAGAGAAAACCAATATAAGCGCAAATTTAATAACAGCGACGAAACAATTGTATACCAAAACTGCAGCAAGGGTGAAAGTTGGAAGCGGGCTATCGAGAGGATTCCAAATTAGCAAAGGCCTAAAACAAGGGTGCTGCCTTTCACCGACATTATTTAAGATCTACCTCGAGCAAACTCTAAAACTTTGGAAACGCAAATGCAAAAACATGGGATTACCGATCAACAACAATACAATATACACTTTGTCATTTGCAGACGACCAACTTGTACTAGCGCAAGACTACGATGATATAGAATATATGACAAGGAAATTAATAGAGGAGTACAAAAAAGGTGGTTTGGAAATAAACATAAAAAAGACCGAATATATGTGTATCGGTGGGACACAGCAGGACCTTACACTGGGGAATGGCGAAATTATTAAACATTGCGACGCATATAAATACCTGGGTATGACCATCACACAAGAAGGAAACGTAGACCGGACGATAGAAGAAAGAAACAACCAGGGAAGAAAAGCAATTACCCTTCTCAATAGCATACTGTGGGACCAGGCAATATCAAACAACAACAAACATAGAATATACAATACAATTGTTAAGAGTATAATCACTTACAGCAGTGAAGTATGGCAAATAAAAGAAAGATACAAGAGAAAACTTGAAGCAACAGAAATGGATTTCTGGAGGCGCTCAGCAGGAAAATCAAGATTAGAAAGGGTAACCAACAACAGAATTAGGGAAATAATGAATGTGAAACACACAATAGTAGATGACATTAGTACCAAACAGCTTAGATGGTATGGACCGAAGTGAATGGCGACTAGGCATCGGAAGACCTATGAGAACGTTTTAAAACCGATATATATATATTATATATATATATATATATATATATATATATATATATATATATATATATATATATCAATATATATATATATATATATATATATATCAATATATATATATATATATATATATATATATATATTATATATATATATCAATGTCGTGTCAAAAATAAATACCGGCCACATGTGATTAAAATATAACAAATTTAATAATTATTTAATTTAAGCCTTGTTGCCGTCTTCCTCTAAGTAGGAGATGCGTTTTGGTTTGTATTTGAAAAACAATGTGTAGTTCCACATCTGCAATAATTTACACTAAGAAATAGTGTCAACGTTAAGGTAATATTAAATATAACATCTTAATTACGATGATTGTAAAGAATGTTTTCCATTACGCAAGTTTGATGAAGCCAAAAATTATGTGCGAAGCTTGACTACTAATAAAAGACACTCACTTTGAAGCACCTGTTTTTTATGCTTCTTAGTATTGGTTGTTCCGGTTACCTTCAATGTCTGTTGTTTACAGTAACCGTTACTGTCCTTGATATTTATATATATATATATATATATATATATTATATATATATATATATATATATATATAACATAGTGACCATGTGCTCTGGTATGACAGGTTTTAGTAAAAGAACCATTTACAGATTTGTAAGTGAAATTAAACAAAATACTATTGATGTAGTATTTCTCCTGTCATCCATAGTTTTATATATAGTTATAGTTTTATGTCTTTGACCGGTGTTGTGTCAAACTTTGTATATTTTGTATATTTATATTATTCTACTTTTTATTTACGTCCATAATTTTTTTGTTGTCAGATAGTATTTTTTGGCATATTAACGTTCACATTATTTTTTAATTCGAAATACTAGAGAAAATAGATATGACCAAAAAACTGTTTAGAAATTACAATTACCTTTTTACATATTTAATTTTTTTAATTTTTATATTGGGACATTATTCCTTTTTATTCTTATTTAGGTTTAAAATATGAACTACTCATTCGACCACATCTTCTGCTATTATTATTATCATTAATGTATTATTCCTACTCATATTTAACATAAATTAAACTTTCAAGAATGAACTCATGTGAACCTATCCTGAGAAAGATGCCCCCTCTTACTCGAGCGAAAATACACTCAAAACTACATTTCTTTTTCACCTAGATTAAAGAGTCAAGCTAAGTCAGTAAGCTTTCGGCTTTTTTACCTGTACAGGTAGACACCATTTTGGTTCATAATTAACGATATTATTGGCCAATTACAGTTGACCAGTCAGGTTTAAATCGCAATCTTTGAAGTTGGAGGTGAACGTAGTTGTGGTCTACTTTGTTTGACCATCGCGCGAGCGGTACTTGCGTAAATAACTTCAGTTCCACGATGGGTACTACCTTCATAATAGTGTTTTAGTTGTAGTTTGACAGAATCTGTCGATAATTACTTTTCTTTTATTTATTTATTTATTTATTAATCTTTGAAGATGTTGTCTGGTGGTTATATATTGGAATTGTGTAACGTTTTTTTCTCTGGGCAGGTAAGTTGCACTTACTGTGGTTAATTGCTTGAAGCACAAATTCTTGTAGATATGTTTTCATACACTTAAATGTAATACTGTAGCAAATTGGAATGCATTTGACAAGAATATGTTCATGAACTAAATGGCGTGATTTTTTATAACGTGTTGTGAATTCTATTCAAAAGGTGTCTGAACAAATTTTCATTTATACAGAAATAATTTAAATTCTGTAATACAAAAAGCTAAAATTTGGTTTAGGGGCAAAACGGATTGTCGTAGCCAATTTAGATCAATAAAAATTTTACAAATGATTTTTATCTATTTTTAGCCTCTGAATTCTAATATTTAACATGATAATCCAAATAAATGGGCAGGAATTTGTTATTAACAATTTAATTGTGTAAAAGTTTTTAACTAATAAACTAATTTTAAAGTATACCTTTTTTTAAACCCTATTTGTTTTTTTTTAAACGAACCAACCAAGCTTTTAAAAATTAAAATCGGTCCATTAAAAGCTGAGATATTGCAAATTTATTATAAAAAAATAACAAATTGTCGACTATGTTAGACATTTTTGCTTATAACTTTGCTTTTCTTCAACATAAAAACATTCAAAGCATTCTAATTTAAAGCTATGATTCTTCTTCTTCAAGTTCCACTCCTATCGGAGATTGGAAATCATTCTGGCAATTATAATTTTATTGGTTACTCGCCTGAATAGTTCAATTGAACTGCATCCAAACCATTCACGGAGATTGCGTAGCCACGAGATTTTACGTCTTCCTACGCTTCTTCTACCTTTGATTTTACCCTGCATTATATTCCTTAGTAGTTCGTACTTTTCACCTCTCATTATGTGCCCCAAGTATTCCAATTTCCTGATTTTTATGGAATTTAAAACTTCGCATTGTTTTCCTAGTTGTTCGAGAACTTGTTCTTTTGTTTTGCGATCCATCCATGATATTTTCAAAATACGTCGGTAACACCACATTTCGAATGCTTCTAGGTTTTTAATGTTGGATTTTTTAAGTGTCCAAGCTTCAACTCCATACAAAAGGGTAGAGAAAATATAACATCGAAGCATTCTTATCCGGAGCGATATATTGATATCGCGATTACAAAAAAGTTTTCTCATTCTATTAAAAGTTGACCGCGCAATTTCAATGCGGCATCTTATTTTTTTTGTCTGATCAGTATCTTCTGTGATCCATGCTCCAAGGTATTTGTACGAAGATATTTGTTCAATTTCTGTATTATCTAGTACTAGCTTAACTTTGATGTTTTGTGCTTTTGTAAATACCATGAACTTGGTTTTCTTCAAATTGATTTTTAGTCCATAATCGTTGCAATATATATTTAGTAGTTCAGCAAGGTGTTGCAGTTCTTCTAGTGTTCCTACCAGAAGGACGGTGTCGTCAGCATATTTATGTTATTGTGGCTCACCGTTATTAAGGCCCTACTGATCTCGGCAAGCGCTAATTCTGAGATGGCTTCACTGTATAAATTGAATAACAAGGGTGATAAAATACACCCTTGGCGGACCCCACGGCGAATCTGGATATCCTTGGTCAGTTCGTTTTCAACTTTCACTTTTGCTGTTTGATTCTAATAGATGTTACAGATGATTCTAATGTCTCTACTGTCTATGTTTTTATTTAATAAAATTTCTTTAAGTCGATTATGCTGCACTCTGTCAAATGCCTTCTCAAAATCAATGAAACAGGCATATACTTCCTGATTAATATCTAAGCATCTCTGCGAAAGAACACTTAATGCAAACAGTGCATCTCGTGTTCCCAGTCCTTTCCTAAATCCCATTTGTGTATTACTTATGCCTTCATCTAATTTCTTATGTATTCTATTGTGAATTACTTTTAAAAACAATTTCAAGACATGACTCATTAAGGCTATGGTGCGATGTTCATTACACTCCTTTGCATTGGTTTTTTTTGGGAAGCAGTATGAATGTTGATTGGAGCCATTCTTTAGGTATTATACCTGTTCTATATATGGTATTGAATAGATCCAAAAGAAGATCAATAGATTCAGTATTCACAATTTTAAGTAATTCGATAGGAACTTCATCAGGCCCGGAGATTTACCACCTTTAGCTTGTTTCATTGCATATTCAATTTCTTCTCGTATAATGTCAGGCCCAGTATCATCCTTAAATTCTTTTGGTGCTTCTGTTCTCTCTTTGTCTTCAAAAAGTTGTGCTATATATTGTGTCCATCTCTGCATTTTTTGGTTTATATCTGTTATAAGTGCACCCCTTTCATCTCTTAGTTGCCTAGTTTGAAGTGTTTTTCTCATTCCTGTTAATTCTCTAATTCTTTTATGCGTGTTAAAAAAGTCATATTTTTTCTATGCTATGATAACAATCTTTAAAATAATTTTTGAAAAATTAAGTTTTATTAATTTTTACCAAAGTTATATAGTATAGAATTTAGGTGTAAAAACACAATCGAATTTGTTTATAACAATGTTTTGGTAGTATGAAATACAAAAAATTAGTAAGGTGAACCCGTCGAAGTGTGAACTAATTTTTATTTAGATAATTTTTATGACATATTTTGAATGATTCAGGAGATGTTTTAATTCCTGATATTTTTTTTCCTAGAATGCTTTACGGACTTTACTACATATACTTAAATTTGGACGCGTTCCTAACATCAGATGTGGAAATTATGTTAAATTTTTTACGATATCCCTGGTTTTCACTTTCCCGTCAATTTGGGGTAAGTGTGACAATGGACTTTAGCATACAACAGCGTGCGTTATTTTTTGGACAAGTGTAAATAATTTAAAAGTGCAAGTAAAAACGAATTTTTTAGTCTTTGAAAAATTTTAATTTATCTATTTTTAAGCAAGTTACAAACTTTTTAAGATTTAAAGGTTTAACCCGACAAAATTTACGTCAAAAATAAACTGCCTACTCTTTTTATATCTTAAAAAGCAAATTTTCCATTCATTTTCAATCTTGTTATCATTCTTCCAATAAAATGTTTAATATGTTTTTGAGATGTGTACCTACAACAACCCAATTACCCAGCGCGATTTGGGTCTTTCCTAACTCTCCAACTGTTGGTACTTCTTTTTAAATTATTTGCTCGTTTTCTCGAAATATTTCAGGATCTAAATAATCTTCAGAGTCAACATATTCTACCAAATCTTCTTCCGATTCTGATTTTCGTTTCTTAATCCTCTTCGGTATTTGAATTTTTGATTCTTTTTTCTTGCTGCGTTTTTCTTCTTCTGTTTGTTTTTCTATTTCTTTTATGTTCTTTAATTTATTCTCTTCTATAAATTTATTCAGAACTTCTTCGGAAGTAACGACTTCTGTCCTCTGCAGCAATTTTTTTTTTCTTTTTGAGCCCGAAGGACTTTGCTTATTTGTCTGTCTAACAGTGTTTAATAGCAGCTCCTCAAAACTTATTTTTGAAGAACTACTACTTGGAGTTGCATCAGAAATATTGGTTGTATGGTTTTCCACAATCTGGTCTTTATTTACCTACTGATCAATATTGCCGGCGGTGATAGCATTCATATTAGTATTTGCGGTTTCAGCGACAACTATTGTTTGGTCTCCTAAACTCTTTTGTTCTTTCCATCTTTTTAGACTTTCAGGGTGGTATTTTTCCTCTGGTATGATATGACGGTTAAATGGATATATACCAGCTTTTCTAAACCCGTTTTTGATCATGTCTACGCTTACGTTTTTCCATGTAGTGCCTATCGTCAGAGGAAACTCTTTTTTTTGTAATTTTAAGGCCAGTATTATGTCTCTGCCAGGTTACGAGTTGTTGGTCCTAAGCGTCTTTTAGAGACTTAAATACGGCTAAATCCAAAGGCTGCAGAAGGTGGCTGGTATGAGGAAGAAGTTTGATGATTGTGATATCATTCTGTCGTGCTAATTCAACTAGTTCAATACTAATGTGGGTACTATGACCGTCATATATCAACAGTACCGGCCTATTTCTACTAATGCGGGAATAAACGTTTTTTTTAATAATTAAAAAATACGTCACTTTCCATCCATTGAGACTGGTTGCATAAGCAGTTCCCGGAAATGAGTTCTTGTTATCTGGTAGCCAGGAATCCCAAATATTTTTTCTCTTGAATACGATTAGTGGTGGTGCATTCTTCCCTGATGCAGACGCTGCTAAAAGAACCGTGGTATTTTCTCTTCCTGGACCAGAAGTAGTTCTGGAACTTGGTTTACCTTTAGCTCCCACGACTTTGGATTTTTTGGGGTCGTGAGAAATGGATGTTTCGTCCATATTCCACACGAGTTGCGGCTTATCCTCTAATTTTAGCCGGAACTAATTTTTTTTTGAGAATATCAAAATATTCTTGGATGATGAAAGGATCTGCCATTTGTTTTTCTTGAGTACTCCACAGCTTGGGGTTTTTTATGCTAAGTTGGTGACGTCTTTTAAAACTCCCGAAGCACTCACCCCAGGAGTGTTATCCTTAAATGAAGTTTTTATGTCATTTTTGGTATCAAATTTGCGAACAATCTCTAGTAGTACCAATCTGAATATTCCAAATCCCCACTGCTCCATAGTTTTTAGTCTTTGGGCCAATCTAATCTCATCTTGTACAACAATCAATATATGTGCCCGGTATATCAAACAAACCCCTCTTTTTATCTCTGACACTACGTGATTTAAATCATCTTGGGTATATTTGGTTGCTTGATCCGACTTCCGTTTGTAGTTTCTCACCATGTTCAATCTAGAATTAAAAATTAAAAGATAGTTTTGCAAGTTCACAGTTGCCCTAGTACACATAGTCACATTTACCCCAGTAGGCAATATAAACGAGGTAAGTGTGACCTAAGTCATAATTAAGTTAAAAATTAAATTGGCAATTTTTTTAATACATACAACGTAATATAGTTGTTAAACAATCCTGCATACCATAAAATATTTACTTACCACCTAATACTCGCTTCTCACAAAATTTGTAAACAAAGTCTGCACACTAACATCAACAAGTTAATTCGTACCAACATA